ATTATTCATTTCATTATTATTATTATTTTTATTTTTTTATCTATTCTGAACTGTTAAGCATCTAAAATTAAATATTTTGGTTAAATAGTAAACGAAACACCCATCAAGCTATCTACAAAAGTTTACGATATCCATTGCATGAAATATGGAGGTTTAGATTATTGGTTTTCCAAACTTAAACGTCATGTCACTTTAATCCTTYTGTAGGTTATTTACTGGGAATTGTTTTCTGAAAGATCCATGCGATCAGTTTATGTTTAAAGAGATGCGTGGGTTTCTAAACCAATTACCCACAACTGACGTTATTGTTTCAGTCGCGCATTCAAATAAATGATGTATTTCTTCGTTGATGTTTTTTTTTTTTTTTTACGAATCTTATTTCAATCGTAATGTTATATAGTTTTTATTCACCGTTTTTTTATTTTCAAGATTTTATGAAGAATGTGCTGTCATGGAAACCGTTTATACCATTGGCCAGTTTAAATTTTAATGCATACATGGTGAATACCATATTACCGGTAGCCGACACGGCCAGCAGGCGGACTTCTGAYCACTTCAACATCAGGAATTTCGTAAGTGCATATTGATATAAACTGTTGAGAAAAAAATAATTATAATAGTTGATATTAAGTATTCCAATAAGGAATAATAACAAGGTATTTACAACAACGTATTGAAAGTTACCTATAAGGGTTGTGATTATTACTAAATTTATATAATTGAGTTAACTAACACAATGAAAATTTGTTGTTTGTTTTTCATCATGACATCGTAATATTTTTCTATATATAACTAAAAAAATTTTACATCCACGAAAAGATAAAATTCAATATTTGAGTATTGTAATCACCATTAAGTAGCTATAAAAAAAAACATTAAAAGTGGAATAATATCGGTAGATATGCATATTTTAATTAATTTAATTTAAAAAGATTCAGATTTAGTGTAGGTATATATATATTATATATATTATACGTTGTTGTCACTTCTGTAATGAAACTTGTATTTGAATAACAATTTATCTCACTTGGTAGAATCTGTTAATAAGTACTTAAAAGTGTTATGATTAAAACGAAGTTGACGTCTGTTCGTACTGCAGATAGTTAAAAAAATAATCGTTAAAGTAACCAAGAAAATCTAATATTGTAATAATATTTCATACCTACAAATTTTAAGAACTTATTAATCAGGTATGCGTAGTTTAAACTTAAACGATTAAATATCATTAAGACCATTTCTTAGGTAAATTAGTGAATTAATGATATAAACACATTTCCATAATATTTTCACTGTTTTTTAGTCTCAATATTTGAAATTGATTATAATRTGTACACGTGAGAGTTGAACAATACTTTCTTACCTATTGATTACCTAACAAATAACACACATTTTTTAAAACTTATTTTATTGAAATCGTTTTGAAACAAAATAAAAAAAATTACACGAGTAGAAATCCAWATTGAAATACATTTGTAATTAATTGCTTGAAAACATTAATTAGGTATTGTTTAATAATAACAATTACACTACGAGAAATTAATTAAGATTATAATTAATGAAAATCAATTTTATTTTATTTTAATTAGTAACACCTACTATATTAGTATAGGTATAATATATTGTATTTGTATATCAATTTATGAATTAATAATACTGTTGCTTAATTCACAATAAATCGGTATGCAGTGAACGGTTCCCAATTAAATTTTGAAAATATCTTTTGATTTGTGAAGAAAATCCTGACTATTAATAGTGTACGGAATATAGAATTTTTTAACAGTTTTCGTCGGTAGATCTATGAAAAGAAGAAGAATGTTGGTATTAATAATAAATATTATGTAAAGAAATGAAACTAGCGTCTAACCTTAGACGAATTTATTATTTTTTTGATTTTAAGACTGAAGGTTCAATACTTGTTTAAGGATAATCACTAACCCAAAGAACTTTAGTAGGTACCTATATATTTTTAAATGCTAATATATTGGCATTTGGCATTATTTATGTTAACATTTAAAATAATTTGCTAATAGAAAATTTAAATTCCTAAAATAACAAAAATTGTAATACGCGATACATTGAGAGATGGATTTTCAATTTTATTTTTATAAAGTAGCTATACTTACAAATGAATCGAATTACTGAAATTTAATTAAAGTTGCTTTTCAATATTTCAAAGGTCTAATGGTGGTTATGTCTTTCAGGATTACTGATAATTTAATATATTATATTGAACAATTGAAGTATATAAAGTATTTTAAAATGTTATGGAACTATTTATTTGTCCATGTTAATTCGATAAATTTTAATTGTAAACGACGGTAAAACAAAATTTTTGTATAGAATTCACATTATTTGGATCAAATAATATTGTATTTCTGTAATTTCTATAATATTGTGGCGATGTCGTAAATTGTATAATACCTACGAGTATGGTGATTCTACAAAACTAAATAATTCTACAAACGAATGTTTTTAACACTTCTTCAGCTTGCGATGTTACCGCTAGGCTACAATACACCGTAACTTGAATATAGTTTCTAAAACAATAATAATAAAACTTAACGACTCCCTTGGTGCCCGGTAAAAAAATCGACGAAAATATAAACTTTTACGTCTAACGAATCTTAAAGAAAAACAAAGAACTGTTTTTTTTAAATATTTTATTATAGGCTCGACGGAATCAAGGTTAATACCAGCAAGTAATATTACATTAGTGCAAATAAATATTGAAAGAAATACGAGATAAAAAAAATCAATAACAAACAAGCAGAATAACTATACAACAAATAAAATAATAATCAAATATAAATATAATACTTTTGTTAAAGCTAATAACCTTTGTAGTTGATGCAAAACCAAAAAAAAAAAAAATCAAATAGACAATAATATGACAATTTTTTTTTAATGGTATGTGGTTAATATATTTTGTATTTATTTTATATTTATTAATGATCAAAGTTGTTAGTAGAGCACAACACTCGTTTGAAGAAACATTAATATATAATTTAAATTTATTATAAAATTCTTATAATAGATTTAATGAAATTCCCAAATATATTAAATTTAGAATTAACATTTAACTATACTAATATAATATRCAATATAAGTATCACACAATGCAACAAATCTTATGGATTTGGTCAAATAAGATAATATTAATTTATTAGTTATAATATATATATATATATATATATATATATACTAGCTACTAGCTGAATACATACTACTATATTATTTTTTTATTAGCCATAAAAAATCTGTACATATTAGCATGATATGATTATTTGATAAGAGTATAGAAAAAAAAGCGGGAAAGTGGATATCGCTCTGCTATACAGTAGGTTACAAGTGGGTTACTGTAATGGATTGAATTTAATTCGAATCCAATGATATTATATCATTGTATACGAAAAACGATTCTGAGCGGAAACGGTTTATCTGTCTAGGATATATTATAGATTATTAAAAGTTTTCAAATCTTAGATTTAAAAAAAAAAAAAACATTTTTATGAATTTTCTAGCTTAAAATAATTTGTTAATTTTCGTGATTTTTACGTATGTTGTCAAAATTCAAACTTTGAATGCTTATAAAAAAAAATAAAGACTATATATTTCTTTTATTTTTCAACTGCTATTGTAAAATATGTTAGGAGCATTGTATAAATTTTCAAGCTTTTGTACCCAACAAATAAATTTTTATCGATATTAGTTTAAAAAACACTAATAATGATCAAAAATTGCAAATACCTATGAATAGTTCAACTTAAGTCGAAAATTTTCGAAAATTGCATGGTGGATAGATTATACTTATATAAACATTCGGTGAAAATTTCATGTATCTATGGTMATTTGTTTTWAAGTTGTTACATCAAAAACCAAAATTAATTTTGTCAAAAATTAATTGTGTGTAAAATTTCCTGTTTTTCCCTTAATTTTTAGTTTGTTTATCCCGATTATTTAGAAAAATATTAAGAATTTTTTACTTTTGACCCCCCAAGGTACCAACTAGATTCACTTTATGATCGAACCAGGTACTGAAGTAAAAAAATCTAAGCACTTTTACTGTCTCAAAACGTGATGACAGACGCATAAAAAAACACACACACATCATGGTAAAATCAATACATTCATCGCTCCGCTCAGAATCTAAAACAGAAAAGAAATAACATGAAATATGCGATTAAGCAGCCACCCATTAGTGACTCTTAGATATTAATTATAAAATATAAACAATATTAAAATTGTATGGTACCTAATTGATATAGTTATCTATCTATTTTTTTTTTCAGATGGCTGATGCAATTTCAGACACTGTTATGTGTTTGACKGCTGGTTTATTCCTTTATTTATTAGTAGAAAGACCGTTCAGGCTTCTAATCACTCAACTATTTGTCTCAAAATCAAGATCAAATACAAATGAAAAAAAGTAAATGATTGTTAATTTATTAATTTGTAATTAATTTTAGGAATTTTATTCAAATTAGAAATTTATCATATTATCGATGTTAATTCTTTTAAAATATAAAAAACAAAAACAAAATACTTTATTCTAATTTT